TTATAATGAAGTTATCCATCTACAGATGACCCAAGTCGAGTTTCTATAATTTATCTGTCTTACAAACCAAGCTCTCCAATAAGAATTTTTTTTTAAAGTAAAAAGAGCCAGACTTTTTGAAAAGTTTAAAATAAAAGGTGATTAACAAGAAATCGTTTCAAAACTCCTCCTGTAACACAGACTAGGAAAGAATGCCATGTTTAAGTAATATTAGGCACATTACAACAGATTCTGAGGGCAACTAAGGGCAAGCCTGGGTGGTGCCACTCGATCAGCTGCTGAGAAGATAACCCAGAGATGCCTTGGAAGCACCTGGTTTTTAATGATCTGCTCACCACTGCTCTTGGGCTAATTTCCTTCCGCTTAAACTCTAAGGGTCTGCTTTTCTATGATCAAAAAAATGGCTGCTTGGCCCTTAATAAATAGGTGATACACCCATTAAGATGAAACTGTTCCTTTAGCAGGATGTTGATGTATCAAGAAACTGCCAGCAAGGGTGAGGGCATGCTGCTAACGGCCTCTCCAACTTTTAAGAGGCCCTGGCCATTTTACTGACCCAATTTACACGGTCTCCAAATTTTAGACTATATACATTTTTAATCCTCCTAACAATGCGGACATGGGGGTGAGCACCATAATCTCTACCTTACCAGCTGGAAGAAATTACAGGAAAGAACTAGTCCATGACCTAACTAAGGTAACACAGCTAATAAACGGCAGAGAATGTTTTTGAACAAAAAGCTAGCCCTAGTACCAATGTTCCCCAAACATTCATATTCATACAAATCATCTGGTAGTCTTGTAGAAAAACAGATTCTAAGATTCGGGCGTTGGGGAATCAGCAAAGTTAGCAGTTCAAAGACAAGGCGAATTTTCTACTCCTCTAAAGAGTTAATCTCGGAAACCCAAGGGTCAGGTCAATTCTGTACTATTGGGTCGCTAAGAATCAGAATCTACTCGATAGTAGTTGAGTTTGAGTTTTTCAAGTTTTATCAATCCCAGCAGTAATACGGATGCTGCCGGTCTGCAGATCATCCTTACAAAATTAAAATTTTAGTCTAAGCTACAGAGTAATTAAAAGTGGTGGTAACTTCAGGAGGTAGTTTCAACCACTTGCCAGTATTTTATTTGAAACTTACTTTATTATTTAAAAAGAGGGTAACAAAATTTTTAGTTTTAACATTGCCTGTTTTCAGGTTTTGCTAAGCAACCTTTATTAATGCTATAACAAGATACTTTAATATTCAAGTTTTTCCCACATCCAATATCTATTAACAAATATCCTTTGAATATTGACTTTTAACAGATTCAATGAGAATGTGATAAAGAGTATTTTCATATTTTAAAAAAATCAGGAGCTGATAAAAACTCATTATCTTAAAAAAAATAAAGCATTATCTTTCTGAAGTTTTGACAGTGTTCATTGATGGTTGAGAGGACAGACTTTGGGGAACAGAAGGAACATAAATGTCTTAAGACATCACTAACAATTCAAGTCACCAACTTTCTCTAAAAGCACACTTCCCTTTCATTCCCATAGGTATATATCAACTCTTTGTATGCTAATCCAAAACAGAGGATGCCAGTCCAGTACTGTACAGTGTCTAAACCAGAAGCCACTAAATGAATGTTACATGCCTGTTTAGGACACTTGGGCCCATGGCCTTCCAATACGTAATCACAGAAATACCATCAATCATTGGAAACAGCATCTTTACCAAACTTTTACCGGATATTATCACACAAAAATCTATATTATCAAAGCACATTCAAATATGTTTAAACACAGACAATTAATTGATTCAACAATTAAGTGTATCTTTTCAATAGTAGTTCAGAAGGTTAGCCCATGCATGAGCTTGTTAACCAAAATGTTGGAGCTTCAAGGCCACCTAGAGGTGCTTAGAAAGGAAGTTCTGGTCATCTATTTTCAAAGATCAGCCATGAAAAACCCTAGGGAGCACAGGTCTTTTCTGTGTTGGCAATGGCTTGATGAGAACTGGTGCTGGTAAAATCACCCTGGGTACACATTATACAAAATAGACAGTGATTAAAGAAAACTGTTTGTTAAACATTAAAAACGGATGTAGAAAGCAATCTCCCTATCGTGGAAAAATTATCAGTCTAATTATAGAGAATTTTGTTGTATTTCATTCAACTTTTCCCAAAATGTACAGATAACCAATTGCGTCACTGAAAAAGAATGAAATATGCCTGGTACTTTGTCAGACTTGTAAAAACCCTATTTAGAACCAGAATGGAATCCTGATTAAACTAAACAGGAAAGAATTATTAGCTTGCACAGGTCTCAGGCAGTAGAGCTCCTGTATTTTGAGGTTTATTAACATAGAACCCCATTTTTAATTAATAAACTTAACCTGTTCAATGTGATTACACAGGCTAACAGTCTCACCTGTGCACCAATGAACTGAATTTTACATATCTAACATGAAGGTAAAAATGTAATACAAATTCAGACTTGTCGGTCACAATCTAACATGCCTCCACTAAACACTTTAATACTGCAAATTCCTGCTAAGGCACAAGGACTGGGCCTTACCATTTCTCTTCTCTCTCTTACAAGGGGCCATCAATGATGGGCACGGCAGTTACAAACAAAAAAAGACAAGCTGGTAGACACTATACAGCAAGGAACACAAAATGGCCCTTAAGTGAAACACAGTATTGACCTATTAACTACATTGTACAATATACATGTTTATGCATAAGCGATCGATCTTCTTCCCGAAAGAATATGAAGTCACTTAAATAGAGCAATAAAAGCACCTGGATATTTTATGTGTTAAGCATACAGAAGAAAACTGCCCAAAAATAATAAGAAAGAACTTCTCCAGGTTTCTAAGATGTATATTTTTTGTTTGTTTTTTCTTTAATAGTTTACACAAAGAAACTCAGATGCTATAAAGAACTGGAGAATCACAAGACTTCGTAATAGCTGACAGTCACAGGTTGTTACAAAGGAAAGCTGAGATAGGAGTCTGGGTTATTATTCATAAGCAGTGCCAACGTTGTGCTATTTCACTAGTCTAATCACTCAACGGGATCCGTTATTTCATGGACTCACATGAAATCTGGTATATCATCCTGAGGAAAATAAAAGACTGTTGAAACTTTCTATTTAATAATAAGAACACACTTCTGAAAATAATCCTCAGTGACTTTGTGTGGAACTATATCCCTGGGTTGAACATGTTAAGAGTATTTCTTCAGCAGCTGCAACACTATACAGTTGCTTGAAGGGCACTCAACACATGTCTACAGGGCTGTCTCTAGATTTATGCACATGCCCTCGTTTGTGACATTTGTAGAAAACCAACCTTTCAAAAATGTTGACCTTACAGCAATTTTAAAACATTTAAAAGCCTTAAATTTGATAGATCTTTATATGTTTTATAGAAGGAAATGCTAGAATACATTCTCCAAGTTAAGTGATTCGCCCAGAGAGCAAATTTAACTTGACCTCCCTAAATGGCTACAGATTTAACACACCATTTAGAAAGCTGGGGAAAAATACTTTTACTTATTCTATAAAGTAGCAGTATTCGATACAAATATAATGCAAGTCACATATATAATTTAAAATTATTTACTGACCACATTTGAGAAAGCTAAAAACTGTTAAATTCATTTCTAAAGGATATTTTATATATCCAAAACAGTACTTCAAAGGGTAATAAATACTTTTAAGTATCAATGAAGCATTTTACTTTATTTTGTACGAAGTCTTCAAAATTCAATGTGTATTTGCACTTACAGCACGCATGCCTGGATTTGGAACAGCCACAATTCACACGTTCAATAGCCACATGTGACTGATAGAGCATTGGAGTCATAGTTTGAGGTCGGACACACCACGACCTGCTTACAATTAGTTTATACTCGTGTTTCCTTTTTACACTGAAATGCTGCGACTACAATACTTAGAGCAAAACTGCTAATTCACTGGATAAACCAGCATCAAATCACCTTATCAGAAAATCCAGTTAACACACAAAATAAAAACCAGTTGGATTATACTCTGTCTCAAATAAGCTTCAGAAATAGGTCTGATCATTACAAGTGAACAGAACTTACAACAATACCAAGGGTGACAGGTAAGTCAATAAAACACCTTTGTCTCAAACTATTAACACAGCCTGATTTTTAGCAGCCACTCTCATTCTTCTATGCAAACAAGATAAATTTCTCTAAACTGCAAGAATTTGACATGCTGTGTAGTCATGCTAAAAAACATAAAACTAAGAGGAACTTAAAAACAACAACAAAAAACAAACCCCAATAGAATACTTTTCATGCATCTTTCAGCAGTCAATTGTATTCTCTTTATATTCCACAGAAATTCATTCTTCTCCAAAATCCCAATTCTTTTACAGCTTTTCATACACATTTCAACCATTACTCACTAAGCATTTTTCCAAGTAATTAGGACATTTGCTTAAAATGTAAATAATTCCAGCAATGCATTCTCTAGAAAACAACAACTAAATCCATTAGCTTAGCACATAAAACCTGTCCTGAAGGCAAGTCACTGAATAAATCAGAAACAACTATATTCTTGTTTACTGCATTTACATTTTGTAACACATTCAGCAATCTCTAAATTTGGAAGGTCAGTTCAGATTGCACACGAGCTGTAACTTTAAAGCTTAACAAAATTTTAGAAGTTTCTGCAATGTACTTCAGGATATAACACACTCCACAGAAATACTGGAGAACAAAAATCAATTCATATGACTCTCAGTAAACAGAATAAAATCAGTTTTTGCAAGTCAAGCATGCATGCATGATACATGGAACAAACAGTATTTTCCCCCCTCTCAAATTTGTTTAATGCACCTTAGACAATTTTTGTTTAATCCATCTGCAAACCTGAAAAGCAGCAAATGTCGCTTCTTGTATCCCACACACATCCAGGGAGAAAACATTAATCTCTTGATATTTTTCCACAATTTAAAATCAAAACAACAAAACTGTCTTACCTGCAGTTAGGAGGAGGATCAAGAGTTATTTCAGCTAGCTCCTTCTGGATTCTGTTCGTGAAATGAAAACAGACAAACAGCATGTGAGGTAGTCTCAGGCACAACCGGGGAATTACACTGCCCTCTACCACCACACAGTTAAATGCAAGGCTGGCTCTGCCTTCAGTAATGCTAACATGGCTGCTTCCTCTTTGTTCTCAAAGGCATAACCCAAATCCCTCAACAGAAACTTTGCAGCTTTTCTTCTCACTTGCTGCTGCAAATAAGTAACTCGTTTTCACCTGATTTGGGAGCTAGCCCTTCACTATTACTCAGCAGAGGACCTAAAATATATTTTAAAACACTTTTTACCAGAAAAATTCTCTTTTCAAGCTTATATGCAAATGAGACAGGAAGGGAGGAGGGAGAGCACTAGAATATTTGACAATGACTTCAAGTCACTTTTACTGAGGTTAGAATTAGCGAGCTCCTGCAAGGACACAGGAATCGTTTTGATAGTATTTTATCTGGTCCAGAAGAAAAAAGTTCACAATTTACAAATATCTTTATCAAGGGAAAAACTTGCAAAGGACTCTTAGGTATTCTTATTTAATCTTACGTTTTTCTTAATCAGAAGTACAATGTTTAAGTGTAATAAATTGGGCAGGGAGAGGGGAGAAGGGTAATAAGATATATTAGGGGGGAAAGCTACGCTCTAATTTTACTCAAATGTAAATTGCTTTGAAAACTTAAAGATTGTTTAATATACGCTTCAACAAGACTATAACAAATGGAAAAGGGCTATACACTATTTTAAAGTGTTTTTTTTAAATAAAAACATGCTCAAGTTATAACTGCTTGGTTAATTACACATGAGGTGAAAACCTGTAAAAAATAAGAGCCCTTCAGAAGCACTACTGAGTGCAATATTTGATCAGTCTTTAGCCTTTCTTTGCCTTTTAGCTGTGATCAATGAAAATCAACAGAATGTCAATACAGACTAATTCGATAGATGCATTTGATGTATCTGGGCACTGACTTACTAGAGTTCGTGAACATTGCACAGCTACCACCACTGATGAGGAGTCCCACAGATAGTCTTTTTATTCCTCCATCGCAGATAACATATATCAACAGGAAACAAATGATCTTTCACTTATCCCAAAAACAAAATATGTTCCCCCTGCTGTTGAGCATTAATGTGTCAGGCATATCACCAAGTTTTAGAGGAAAGTAGCACCAGGGCAATGAAGGTTTTCAATAGCCAAGTGACATCTGGAATTGTACACAATTAACTTTGTAGTTTCACGTGCCATCGCAAGAACACAGTGGGGTGACCGAGATGGAAAATCTACCTGGGATGAATGACTTCAAGGTATGTTGTAAAACCAAAAACCATTTGTGGCACAGTTTTAAGTCTGTGTTCATATATCCACAAGGCCTGGGGTTTATCCATTTTCTAGCAAATGGGACCATTTCTGATCACCAGTGTCAATATCAATGAAGGTAACTATGACTCAAAAAGGCAGCATCCCACATTGATTGGACCATCAAATTTGGGTGGCTGATCTTCTTAATCTGCCAGTAGGTCAGCCAGATCTTCATTCTGGGGACAGGCTTGTTGAAGTTATCAAAGTACAGAACAAGTTTGCTTAAAACTAATTCTAAGGAGGTAGGGCTCCTTCACGAACCCCAAAGTGACAACTCAACTCTTTTGGGCAGAAATAAATCTGATCAGGAGGTAACTATTTCGGATCCACTGCCACTGATGTAAAACCAACAAAAGTGCCCTGACGGTGTGCTTAACCCTTCTGGAACATGGTACCTTTTAGCACTAGTGGATAACTTAGCGGTGGTTTTGCTAGAGAGTTTGGTGTTTTTCTTCTGCTGGGTGGCAGAAGGTTTTCTTTCTTCTTGTTCTTCGGGCTCCGGAGCGGCTGGGTCTCGCTGGTCTGCATCCGAACTCCCACTGCTGGTGCTGGGACTCTCATCATCCGACCTCTGCCTATCACTGGACATCTTGGTGGAGTTATTACTTGGAAAACTTTTAAGGAGAACAGAGGAGGGGAAAGGACATGTTAAAAAAAATCAATGAAATAAGCCAATGGCATTTTCTTAAAATTCCATTCAGATCGTCTTTTAATGAAAAGGCTTCCAAAGGGTTCACACGTATCAGACAGCAAGGTGACAGGGGAGGTGATGTGTCTCACTACGCCAGCCTTCAGGGATTTGTCCAACTCAAGTTGGAAAACCCACTCATTTTTTTTCCATCCCTTGGACAATCTATCAATTGTCTACTTTCTCAGAAGGCATGAAACATGCTCTGCCAGGGAACTTAGGCAACGAGCAGTAATAACATATGACACACTGTAAATAACAGATCTCGCTGAAAAATGTTTAAAAGTCACTAATAACGTCCAAATATTTACACGCTGACACTGGTCAACGCTACCCAATTGCCTTTCCGAGAGGAAAACATACCCTGTTAATCGCCCATATGCTTATTTAACGCGGCGATTCCTCCTCCGTGCACATAAAGGCTTTAAACCCAACACTTAGGAAATTTAAAAATCAACTAACAAGCTGCCCTAGCCGTTTCCCCCAGCAGCAGCCAAGATTCATCCGGCCAAGAGCGAGCTGCCACCCTGGGAAAAGCAGGATCCAAACTGCACCTTCTGCAAAGCTCCCGGCGCCACCAGGGTTCCTCGCTCAATTTTTATATCACGGACCGACATTTTGTCCAAAATAACGAGGAGGGGGGCGGGGGGAGGAGGGGGACAAAATCCAGGGGAAAACAAACAAACAAAGCCCCAAGAAGTGCAACAAATTTCCGCGCCCGCGGAGGC